AATGTTGTCATCTGGAAGTAAGGAGGATGTTCCAGGTAAGGCCGATTGAATATGGGGAGGAGGTGCATCATGTGCAGTATGATCAAGCCCTTCTTGGGGACCAGAAACACAGGTGAGTGAAATCCTGGTGTCTTAACCAGGTCGTGCACAACCTCTTTGCCCTCCTTCTGAAGCATGGTGTTGATGCTGTTGCATAAGAGCTGATGTTGGTCTGGGGAGAAAGCATTTGCTGTCGGATTTGACGTCAAAGGAGGATGTAGTGGCAAGGGGAGCCGGGACCCCTGACGTAGGACGTTTGTCACGAACAGGTCATATAGTATGGTCCAATTCTTTCCAAACTGGGTGTTTGAGGTCGAACAGGTCAGCGCTTGGATATTAAAATTGGCACCCTTGCTGGTGTGGCAAACGTGTCTGGGCTGGTAGGAGCTGCGGAACTTTGACAGTGTGAGGTGTGCTGGGGAGCGTCCTTAAGTGAGGAGCGACAAGGCCTGTAATTGCCCTTGGACTGTTGAGTGGCATGCTCAAGGGCCTTGAGGACCATTTCGTCCCTTGCAATGCTGGCGACCCTAGCATGGTTAGCAGTGTTGGCTCCATTAAAGAGGGAAGGCCCAGACCAAGGTTGACACAGTAGTAAGGATTGGTTGAATTTGGAATCCCATTCTGTGAGAGCCAAGTACCCCAAGAAAACGAGGAGCCTTGAATGACGGTGTGAGGGACAGCTTAGCGAAATCCTTGCCTAACGCCGCAACAAGGTAGGTAAACATAGGGTCTGGTGGAAGCGAAGTCGGGTTAGACCAGATACAGATGTAGTGGATTTTCTGTCGACGTCAGAACCTTGGGAGGGAGCGACGGAGGACAAACAGTCAGCCAGCCAATCAACTACCTGGGACAGTCCCAGGTGTGTCAATCTCAGGAGTGAAAGGATCATAATCAGGGCGAAAGATCCCTCCGAACAAGACATGGAAGAGCAGTCAGCAGCAGACGGAGAAGACAAGGCATAAGACAAACGAGGACGATTGGAACCCGTAGTGGATGGAGGAACTAAGGGCATCAGAGAATCAGTAGTCGAATTCACCAGATTGAAGGCCAAAGGGGCGGTATGGGGAGTAGACGCAGGAGGAGCTGGTGGCGCCAGTGGCGCAGGAGGTGCTACTGAGGCTGGCTGGTTAAACAACGACTGCTGCATCCATGCTTGCATCCAGGCTTGATCCATGAAGGAATGCGGGAGCATGTTTTGGGGTGCCGATTGTACAGTTAAAAGCCCCTAAGCAGGGGGGTCGGGTGGCTCCTTAGATGCCAAAGATGAGTAGAGTAGAGCAGGTGCCAGAGTAGCTGAAGGAGCAGTGGAAGCCACTGCTGTCGACGTAGAAGGCTGAGGAGACGTAGAAGCAGGTCCCATAATGGGCAACGATGTTATCAATAAAGCTGACGGCAAGGGAGGCGTCGATCTTTATGAGGGAGGGAGTCTCCGAGTTGTGAGCCATGATAAGGGGGATGACATTTCCTAGATAATCATAAGTAAGAGTTGAAGGAGCACGGTGACAAGGGGTTGCAATATCGGCACTGCGCTGTGAAAGTACAGGACCTTGTACAATCAAGGCAGAGAGGGTGAGGGTCCCGACTAGATTTGTTCCTGTGGCAGTGGGTACAACGAGGCGTAAATTCTGGAATTTAAGCAAAATCATAACAATGTGCCAAACACACAACAGAAAACAAGAGGCATAAATGTAACTCAAATTAACTTTTGTTTAAAAGTTTACGTGAGAAAACCATTAGGCAAAAGATAGTGAAAAGCAAAGCTTTGAACACAAAAACAAAATTAATGGATTACCGAAGCCAACTAAAAGAATTCAGAACGCAAGACACAAAAGTACGTGGCCACATGGCAAGTTAAAAATAGACAGAAGGAACAACAATATGCCCATAAATTACCGTGACTGGACCCACAAACGAGGATAGACGTTACAAAATAGGTATGGGAAGACCACAAAGGGTACAAACCATAAACCGAAGAGAATATAGTAGCAAACGATGAATGAAGAAACACGCAATACAGCAACACAATAAGCCTTATTTCCACAAGGGATGCAACAGTATGTCTGTCCGTGGATGTGACGTCATAGATTCCGGGTCACATGCCAACTGTGTGAGGGTGCTGTCTCTACTAGTTGGAACAACTTTTCTTCATGAGCTGGATCTCACACAGTTCGTCTTTCTGTCCGAAAACAGCAATAAATGCATTAAGGAGTAATGCAGGATAAGTTAAAAAATCTATTGATATAGTCAAGTCTAGTCTTTATTTGTATATAAGATAGATAGCTAGCTATGTGATAAATCACAACGAATAAGGAAATGTGGTTTTAATTCATGAAAAAACAATGTTCTATCATGACGTCATTTCTGGAGATTCAAAACTTCATGATGTCACATATTAGACTAGATTATTTTTGAGAGGGAAGTGTCTAGTAAGTTGTTACCCATAGATGTAGCTGGACTACACAGATAAATGCAGTGGCCGAACGATCGCATCTAAACATGGTGAGATGTGTTACCAAGACTTTTAAAGGGAAGTGCACAAAATGATCTTTTACAGACCACATAAATCTCCAAGAACTTGGTAAGAGAGAATGTGTACATTCATTAATGCAAAATGGCCAAATGTTGTATTTCACTGAATATTAATATTTGAGATAATAGTGTTAAAATTAGAACACATATAAAGATGTTCTAAACAATGGGGTGTTTACTGGTGTTGTGATTCAGGTGAGGTGTGTGACAAATGGCATAATAGGAAGATACCTATCAAATCATTTCCCTCATCATCCTTGCAAAGTGTCAGAGGAAAAAGTCAAGGGTGCAATATATTTGAGCAAAATCAAAGTGCATAGATTCAATGTGGCTTCAATGGTGGCTTTATTGAAAATTGTATAAAAATGTACCTAGTACTTTTGGGTGTCATCATTGTTTGGTACATGTGCATCTTCATAGATGCGGAGAAGGACATGCTTACAAACTCTGCATGCCACATTAAGGACGAGACATGATAGGTTGTGGAGGGTGAGTTAAAGTAGCACATTTAAACCTTTTTGGCATACTTTTACTTAAAGGATACAATAAGAGGAAAAACATAAGTTCAACATAGAGCTAATTTCATAATAATACATGCTAATGTGTCTGAATAATGAGTAAACATGACATTTTTGTTATGCAGAAACATGTTTGCATCAAAGAAGCAGATCCATCACAACTTTTCTTGAATGCCTCAAACTTTTACTACGCAACTTTGCTCACAGTGATAAATTTATCACTTACCATTTGGGAATTTATTTGCATTTGCATGTTTTGCCCATAAAATTACCTAATACTGATGTGACATTATCAAAAACATATTACTCTGTCCTTGTTGTGACCGAGTTTGACTGACTGATTAAAAAGATTTTGGATCATACACTATATTTGTAAACATGCATAGCAAACATCAGTCAGTGATATAACCACTAATACCCAATGACCTTAACAAAGATCTTGAACTCTTGCAGACTTGCAATTGGCAATTATTTGTTTTGTTGGTTGTTTAACACTGCACTCTGCTATATCCCAGCTACATGACAGTGGTCTGTAAATAATCAAGTCTGGACAAGATAGTCCAGTGATTGATATCATGAGCATCAATCCAGCAATTGGGGTTCAATGACATGCATCAACCAAGTTGGCGAGCTTGACCACCCATTCCTGTGAGTCACCTCTTACGACAAGCATAGTCACTTCATACATACGGTAAGCATGGGTTGCTGAAGACCTATTCTAACCTGGATCATCACGAGGCTAATTGGCAATTAACAAGTTGGAACTTGATATGCCTTTTGAGCTAACAATGGAACAGAAACTGATCACTCTTCTTTACAATCAATAATGATGTGGATCTGTGACTGATCTTACCAAATCTATTTCATAGCAGAGATCCATTCAATAGAAACAAGAGTTTGCCACTAACGTGGCTATATCCCCCGCCCCTGTTGCAGAATACATGACATAATTAAATCTACACAAACCCTAATCTTTTTTAACCGAGGTGGAACTTGTCATGGAAATTGTAAAAAAAAGAAGAGTTTGGAACCTAAGTCCATCTTGTTGCCATGGAAACGTAAAAAATACAAATTTCTAAAATTTCTAAATAGCAAAAGGCACCAGTTCAGCATGTACCTGACAGACCTGCAAAGTTTGATGAAAAAATATTGAACAGTTTCTGACTTATGCTCTGGAAACGAACCCTACCCTCAGAGAACCTAAGTCAATCTTGTTGCCATGGAAACGTAAAAAATAAAATTTCTAAAATTTCTAAATAGCAAAAGGCACCAGTTCACGTTGTACCTGACAGACCTGCAAAGTTTGATGAAAAAATATTGAACGGTTTCTGACTTAGGTTCTCTGAGGGTAGGGTTCGTTTCCAGAGCATAAGTCCATCTTGTTGCCATCGAAACCTAAAAAATAAAAATTTCTGAAATTTCTAAATAGCAAAAGGCACCAGTTCAGCATGTACCTGACAGACCTGCAAAGTTTGATGAAAAAATATTGAACGGTTCCTGAGTTATGCTCCGGAAACAAAACGTGACGGATGGACGTATGGACGGACGGATGGAGCCCGTTTCTATATCCCCCGGCAACTTTGTTGGGCGGGGGATAATTAAACATGCCTACTTGGGTCAGAGAAACATTAACATATTTTTTGGAAAGTGCAACTAAATACTTTGGAACTAGACTTTTATTTTCAAGACGTGTCAGATGAATTTACTTGATGTCAATCACACAAAGTCTTTAACTACATCCTTCTGAACATTTTTATAATATTAAGTGTTTTTAACTGAAACAAATGTTTAAAGTATTACTTGTGATGGTTATTTAGTACATTTAGTATATGGTGACACCTGTGCCAAAATAATTAAGCACATTTGGAGCAATAGATTCTCAAAAATATGAAAAAAAACTCTTCTTTTTTTTTGCAGGATTTCCTACTGCACAAGAAGCATCAGTTGTCCAGTGCTTTCTAAGTAAAGGATGTTTGCAGACACTGCCCCCAAGCCATGACATAAGTTAGGTGAGCTAAAAAAAGATAAAAATTCATTGTTTGGGACATGTGCAAAAAAGACATTATATATGCTCATAAAATTGGAACAGAAGGGTATTCAGTGAAACATTTCCAGATGAATGGATCAATGAATAGATGACGGATGAAATCCACAGGATAAGTTCACAATTACTAATTTGAAATAAGCTAAAAATGTAAAATTTCTTTCTACTGGTGGGACTGACAATAAAAATCACAGATTTGTCAGTTTGAAAATAAAAATAACCATGCACAATCTCACACACATGTCTCACACATGAAAATCTCATGTTAATTCCAATGTACACAAACATACATGCAAATATGAACAAGAAATGGACAATAATATTTATCATGTAAATACATGTAACTGTAAAGTCAGAATATTCTCCCTTTAGTAAACTTGGCTACTTGAAAGGAAAACAAATGTAACTCTTGACATCCTCACATGTTCAATCATGCAAGTTTTGTTGAGTGTGAACAACAGCACAGTAAAAAAATATGTTGCATGCATCAACTTAATGGAAATGTACAACCACGATCATAAAACACAATATTTCCTCTTCAGATAGTCACTGTAATCTGCAGAGGAGCTTGCAAAGGATGCCTTGAGAGATGAATCCTTTGTCGTTTTCACCACAGGTACAATATCACCATGAGGAGCTACAACAGACAAAAATTCAGAATCAGACCTTCTGAAACCATTAAATTAGGTTTCTAGATACTGGTATTTGAAACATCTGAAGAAAAAACATTAAAAAAACAACTTGCAATTTTATGCATAGGTATTAAATTATTACTTTGAATACTGATTAGGCCAAGCAATGTAAAGCATAGAAATAGAGTCAATGCCTCTATATGAATACATGACACTTTTTATGGATAGCAATTTACTATATTATTTGTCAAGGCATTGCAGTGCTACTTCTTGCTCCTTCAGCGGGTGAATGCTGAGTCCTATATATATTATATTATGGTAGGGAAATTAATCTTCCAGTTGATATGTATGGACAAACAATGAAACAGGTAGGATATATACACAATGAGTGAGCGAGTGAGTTGGGTTTAATGCCGCTTTGAACAGTATTCCAGTTATATCACGGCATGTCATCTTAATATGGGGGTAAAGTCTAATGTGATGTAGGTCTCAGGCATTTACCACTTTGGTGAAACCCACAAACATGTAATGGTGCTAACAAACCTAGAAACGTAATTAGGGCGAACAAGGATTCAAACCCACAATCACATGTTTCTGGCATGGGACGCAATTCTGCACAGCGAACTGCAGCACCTTACATGTGAAAGACTAGGGGTATTTTGTGGAAGAAATGGACTCCTGGATGACCAAGGCTATTCAGGTGAGGTGATATGGGGTTTTACATGTACGGTTATTGCACCGAGCACCTTGCAGGGTAATAACAAGTCACGTCTCTTAATGTCTTTTGTAATGACATGGCTTGGCACCGAACTACCGATTTTCCTTTCTCTATTGACTAGACCAGAGGCGATCCCTAGTTCATACTGACTGAATCTGTCAATAAAAATATGTATGTGTGCTACATGTCTTTATGTTTCTTGCAAAACAGTTATAAGCAAAGTTTGTTATATATATTGGTCTTTGGGCTTCCAACCTGCTTCTAAGTGTTTTGCAATGCTGCGGTTGAGGTCGGCTCGGAGTTTGTTACTGAGGGGATCCTCTGTTGTGTTATTCAGATGACTGCTTTCCGGAGACATGACATTACTGATAGTAGACAAATTGAGGTTGTTGAAGGATGTCACAAACTTGCTACGGTGTCTTTCAGATCTGGAAGGAAATTGATAGCATTAAAAACTATTCTACTTATCTCATACCAAGTCCTTCGAAATTTACGGAACACAACTAACTTTCTGTCTATAAACTAACTTACAAAAAAACTTTTAACAATAGATCAATAAGCAGAAATCAGAGGTACATCAGTGCACCCTACTTATTGTGGAATCAGAAAGATCACACAAGGACAAAGAAGGATAAACAAAAAGATATCAGACATCTCTACATCTCATATTCATTACATAACACAATGATACATAGAGGATATTCCATGTGTCGAGTGAAATATTATGTTTCTCTCATCTTGTGACGCCACTCATGAAAATATCTCCTTTCCCCCTGTCACTCGATGAGAGAAACATGATATTTTACTCGACACATGGAATATCCTATTCATCATATACTTTTTGTGTAATTAATTAAATCGTAAAACATCAAATGTAAAAGCTTGAAACATAAATTCTCCCTACCCAACACACAGGGACCGTTCACCACTTCTTGTATTTATGACTTATAAAATAGTTTTGTGTTTCCAAAATCATAAAAAATATAAATAAAAGTGTAAAAAAATATTTAGGGTCGGGATTTTTATCAAACATGTAGATATGATAACATGCAAAATCAACTTTAACAAAAAATATTCTTGAAAACTAGGAGACCGCTGTTGGAAGCGAAAGAATACACGCTGGTCAAGTAACAAAAATGGCGCTTTGCAAAACAAACAGTCTCGATTGACGAGTAAAATGAGAAATTGGAATGGAAAATTATAACAAATGGCAAGAAGTGATATTGACTCCATAAAAGACCGTCTGTCATTATTTTGCCTTGTCAATGTGGACAAAGAATGTCAACAGATTGTGTACGGGCTAGTCACTTATGACAAAGGGAGGCAATTTAATAGGAGGTAACTCTTGTATGACAATAGTTCCAAAGTGTTATGTTCACTGCAATGAAAATATCACTTTTCTCAACTTCAGAAAACTCAGTCCTTCACACTCACTTCACAATATAATAAATGCATAACTTGATATGCAGAGGGCCAAATAATACATGGTACATTAAGGCTGAACGCCTGAATGTGGAGTCAACAGTTAAAATGTCAAGTCAACAATTAATATGTCAACAAATACAAACCCTTGACAAAGGTTGTTGTAATCATTGACATTTTACAGTTTCTTCACAAACACTAAGGACTTATAAGAACAAACACTCTAAATCTGAATGATTTGAACAAAAATGACATCATCATAAAAAAACCCATACATGTCAAATATTCCCTTACTCAGTGTGGGAATTTCATTGATGTGTACAGGGTTACATATGCATTTGGAAAAATATCAAACAATAGTTATCATTGCGTATGATTCTTAGGAAACTACCTCTGTTACATCATAGCTACAAATTCCCTTGCCTACCATTACACAAATCTTTTAGTTTTAGATTCTCAACAGACGTCCTTCTTCACTGCCAACAATTTCTAAACTAGTTTTGAGGTAAACCCTATCCTCAGGCTTAATGCCAATAACCTTCATAGTCCTAGATGCAGATAAATTGGGGAGGTAGGAGGGACTACCTCCTGATGAAACAGTCCTAGATGCAGATGGACGGACGGACTGACAAACACACCAGGTGATGGCCATATCCCCCGCATCATATGCCAGGGTTATAATTAGGAGATAAACATACAACATTCCAATTGAATTTGGAACCGAACGCGCAGCGTGAAGTTTCAAATATCAAATTTATTGCAGTTAAATGTACAGATAACCTAGCTCTACATTGAAAACACTGTATGTATGTTTATCTCCATCCTACCATGACTAAATAAAACGCGAACTCTTTGGTGTTAGCAAATATACTGAGTGAAGTGGCATGGGTTGAGTGAAGTGTTTTGAGTGGGTTATTGATAAACGGAATCACGGAACAAAATATGGCGCTGTATATACTAAAGCAGTTTGTTTACACTGTAATACTTCACTCGAACATATGACAGGCATTGAAAGCATATAAGCAAGGCAATTTGGTAAACTAACATGAGGTGGGCATCCCTAAAGAAAACAAGATAACAAATCCTCCCAGCCCCTACAAATTTGAAAGAACAAATTATCTGCCTGTTAAGTCCACTTGATGAAGAATTTCTATCTGATCTGTCTGTCAGTGTACAAGAGTAGTTATTGAGCTATCAAAACAATACCATGGAATTGGGATTCGGAACTTTGTATTTCTATGTCAGGTGAACAGTCAAAGTCAAACTTGTTGCCAGGGAAATGGAAAAAATATAAATTCTAACAATCCCTAAATAGCAAAAGGCACCAGATGACAAACTGGTCATATGTGTGCATAGTTTCAAGGAAGAATACCTATTAGTTTTAAAGATGTAGTCAAAGTCAAACTTCTTGCCATGGAAACAGGAAAAAAAATATCTAAATTCCTAAATCACAAAAGGCACCACTTCCACCCCTGAATAATACATGTTCCAAGTTTGATTCAACACTGTTGAACAGTTTTTTTGTGTCCATTGATACACAGAAAAATGAAATTTTGAAACATTCCTAAATAGCAAAAATATAAATTTTAAAATTACAAAATAGCAAAAGGCACCACTTCAGTATGTGACTGATATATTTACCAAGTTACGATCAAATACATTGAATGGTTTTCGAGTTCTGCCCCGGAAAAGGAAATGATTACGGACAGACAGACTGGTTAATAGCTATATTCCCCTGCATTATATGCCTGGGTTGGATAACAAAGCAAGCTTTGTAAGGCTTTCTCTACATTGCACGTCACCATTATGATGTCATATCGCTCATTATGACGCAAAAGATATGACGTCACAGTCGTATATAGAAAAACGCTAAAATTCCAAGCTCTCTGTTGTCTCCAAAACGTAAATACATTCCCTTTGTAGATTTCTATCGGGTTTCCTGCACGAAATGTATTGCCACACATCCTTTGAATATTGTTGTAACCACATCTGTGCATTTTGTAACCTGTAATTGTAGATATATTTATTTAAATATGCCTATCGACAATGACTGAAAATAGTACTATTCTATGAATATTAGCTTCTGTGGTGATGCGGCCGTCAAACCAGCTGTTTCAATCAGAGGGGGTTCATTGTGATTTAATAGCCTCTGATTGACCAATCAGAATCAAGTAAATTCCAAATTCATGGTAGAATAAGCGTTTAAATACAATAACAAAACTTAGGTTTGAGTTGAAGTAGATCTATTTCCAAGAACTCAGAACTATTTTGTTATTGTTTGATGGATTGTTAGGCAAGTATATATATAGGCTTGCCCACTGTTTTACCATGTCACATGGCTCTTCATGATGTAAAGAAGAAACAATACAACAGAAGAATAAGGAAATTATTGGAATGTATTTCTTAATGTGAAAAGGTAAGAAACTATGTTATGTAGACTGATATGACATTATATATCAAACATGATGTTGCTGGATAAAACAAAACTACGGTTAAACCTTGTTATCTCAAACCCTGTTATCTTGAACCTATTCTTCGGCCCCGACCGCCACACTTATATAAATACGTATAAAATTGTGTAGTTTATCTCAAATTCGAGATAAAAATTCACAGCGAACCTTGGGCTTTTGCCTTTACTATCATGGGCATTAAATATGAACATAAGTTTTGTAATGAGTGAGTTGGGTTTAACACAGCTTTTAACAGTATTCCAGTTATTTCACAGCGTGTCAGCTGAATGTGGGAGGAAAGCCCGAAGTGATGCAGGTCTCAGACGTTTACCACTTCGGTGAAACCCACGAGCAAGAGTATGGTGCTGACAAACCTAGAAACATAATTGGGGCGAACCAGGATTCAAACCCATAATCATAGGTTTCTGGCGTGCCCAAGGGACGCAACTCTGCACAGCAATTTTGTAATGAGGTATAAACTTAAAACTAAAATAACTGTGAGAAAACCTGACCTAACATTAATGGTACTTATTCATAAAATATACTTTATACATAATACATAAAGTATGAAAACAAAATATCATTGCAATGTTCTAAATCACCTACCAGTAAGTATTAAACGATTCTAAAATTATCTGAAACAATGTTAATCTGAATGCCACGTATAACAGCATGGATAACTTTCTTAGAGCTTTGATAGACACCCTTATAGAAGAACAGTTGGCTGAATTTATAGAAGTGAGTGAGTGAGTGAGTATGGATTTACGCCACTTTTAGCAATATTCCAGCAATATCATGGCGGGGGACACCAGAAATGGGCTTCACACATTATACCCATGTCGGGAATCGAACCCGGGTCTTCGGCGTGACGAGCGAACGCTTTAACCACTAGGCTACCCGACCGCTCCGAATTTATAGAAAGAAGCAGTAGACAAACAAACAAATTTCTCAGTGAGATAATTCATGGTTATACCACTTACAGTCTTTTCGCTTGGTCTGATTATCACACTATATTGATTTATACCACTGATTTTGGTTTTCAGATTGTATTGATATATATATATTTTGCCCGTGTTATTACACGTTTTAACAGCAAACCCACACTTGTATCATATCACCTGTTGTACATATGCTTCATAACTAAATAATTTGAGTGTTTGTGATATTGAACTGATAATGCATTCACATTTTTATGAATACAAAAAAAAACATACACATGTACTTTGGGTTTGAAGAACAAAGTTGAATTTGAGAAGTAATTATACCAATATATGTAGACACATTAATCAAGCAATGGGATACTTACACAAGTTTAGACTCGGGCTTGTAGTTTCCAGTCTGCTGTAACTGGTCTGACAGTCTCATCCTCCACTTCATTTCACTTTCATATAACTCCTGCAAACGCCTTGCTTCCATCTCCTTTGTCTCACGCTGGGACACGGCCTTCTCATACTTCAGTTTCAGATCTAGATTGTCAACCTGAAGGAATGAGGAGAATCTCAATCAATCTGTTCAGTTAACCAAAAACAGGTTTGCATTATTTTACCAAAACAGAGGCTGCCTAATACCCACTATTTCCTGAATGCCCCAATACTTCCCCACCACAACGTGACCCATTTACCAAATCGGATGACAAGCTGACCTCATTGATATCTATCTATGTTCGTCTTTGATCAATAATGCTGTAAAATGCAGTACTACTTAGTCCTGTGCAGATCATCTGACTGTTATTTTAAGTCCAACTTGATATAAAATTTCTATCAAATATGTCTATCCATTTACAAGAGTAGTCATTGAGCTATCAAAACAATACCATGGAATTGGGATTCAGAGAACTTTGTTGTTTTTCTATGTCAGGTACACAACACTATAAACAGAGTCAAAGTCAATCTGGTTGCTATGGAAACAGAAATAGTAATGTAAAAAATGTTATCCTAAATAACAAAAGGCACCACTTCAGCCCCTGATTAATACATGTTGAATAGTATTTCAGTTTTGCTACAGAAACGACACCTACCTCTGTTTCAGCTAAGTCTCACTTGTTTCCATGGAAACAGGGAAAAATCGAATTATATAAAATTCCTAAATAGCAACAGGCACCACTTCAGCCAATGGTTAATACTTGTACCATCTTCCCGAGGCAAGTGAGTTAACTGACTATAAAAGTCCAGTTTCCACCCTTGCCGAACTAGGCTGGTATTATGGAGTTACATTTTGGCTGGACTAGCGAGTCTATGCATAGTCGAATCAAAATCGCGCTCCGAAATCGAAATCCGGTTCGTAAACTGTCATGCAGATTTCGGTCGATTGGAGGATTTGCAAAGCATGTGCACCGCTAACTCGTTGTCAACAGATATTTTCTAAATCTTTTCATGTTTTTAATCAAGGTGCTCACTTGATTTGATGCACTTAGCGATGTAAGACTCGTTTTATCACAATATATAGATCTTGATTATCGTTCAGATGGTCTTGATTGTGCACGGCCGTTTTGTTTGAAGCAAATGCAAGTGATATGAGAGTTGGAATCTGATTGGTCCATAGGAGAGGCATAGAAGGGACATAACTCGTAATAGCCACTGGTGGCGCTACGATCGAGCCCAGGAATGGCAAGGGTGGAAACTGGACTTTTAAAGTCAGTTAACTCTCTTGCCTCGGGAAGATGTACTTGTACCAGGTTTGGATGAAAGTCTTTCACAGTTTTCAAGTTGTGCTCCGGAAACAAAATTATTCCCAAGGGTATTGAGAAAAATAACAAGAGTCATCAGAAGATGACAAATCCCCCCACAAGCTCAAAAGAACAAATCATCTGACTGTTACTTTAAGTCCAACTTGATGAAAGAATTACTATCTAATTTGTCTGTCCATCTACAGGAGTAGATATTGAGCTATTAAAATAATACCATGGAATTGGGATTCTGAGAACATTGTATTTCTATGTCAGGTACGCACCACTATGAACAGTGTCAAAGTCAAATTTGTTGCCATGGAAACAGAAAGAATTTTTTTTTCCAAAAATCCCTAAGTTGCAAAGGGCACCAGTTGACAACCTGGGCCTAGATTTTCGAAACGATCGTAGCCCTAAAATTATCGTAAATTTATCGTAAGGAAATCGTAGGCTATCGTAGCATATTTTCGAAACTATCGTAGCCCTAAGATATCTTAAGTTCGTGCTAAATCTAAGATAGCCACATACCTGGCGTAAGGTTATTTTATCTTCATCCAAGATGGCGGCATATTTTGCCATAAATATTTTGACAAACAATTAGTCTGCTTTATGTCCAAACATTGACATTTCATTTTGTAAAACTGTGTGATTCAAATTGACACTTCGAAAACATGAAGAACGCATCAAGTATATCACGTCAAAAATGTTCTTAATCGCGACAGCGATCCACATAACTGTGGAGTCGATAGCCTACAACATATTTCTATCTGAGTCCATGCTGAAGGAGTGTGAAACAACATACCTTTATGATAATTTGGGAAGGATAAAAACGGAAGGTGTCGGCAGGCTACAGTAATGACCGTGACCTTATTGATAACTCAGGGGGAGCTAGTCTTAGTTCAAACACTAGTTGAGAGTGGTTTCCCTTTGTATTCCCCCCGGGACACCTTGCTCAATGTTACAGTTTTCATAAAGCGCAGAGTTCCGCTGTTATATTTTCTGGATCGCATTTGTGTCAATGCTTTAGTCTTTATTTTCGCATTTTATAAAATTATATCAATCTACATGTAAAAGAAAACATACAGGTTTCGCATAAGTTTTTACATCTAAAATCGTGTGGGACGGATGGTTTTAATAATTGAATTTTAACTATACAGTGTAGTAACTATTGACTTAACAAGGAAATACATGTGATCAAATATTCATCAAATATGTAATTTGTTTCGTTTTAAATTCAATACCTATGTTATCTATATCCTATTGAAAGACAATATTTGATAAAAAGTGATTAAAAACTGTCCGTTGAACATTTGCATTCTTTAAAAACAGGTGATTAATGGCATATAGATGTATTCCATTAAATATAACAATTTACTGAAATTATGACAGCAAAAGTTAAGCACAGATTTTCGTATCGACAAATCAAATAAAAATATGTTCCCATGCTCGTTCGGGTTCTCGTCAAAATGTAGCATAGTTTGCACATTGTCCAAAATTCACTTTCCAAAATATGTTCGTAGAAAAAGTGTTTTTTGAATGAAATTGACTGATCAATATAAAATAGACATTTTCAACACAATAATCTTTGCATTCAATAAACCGCTTTTAAAATAGTTTGGTCTTTTTAATATTTAAGTCTACATTATCCCGTTTTATGTTTAAAATAAGATATAGATATACTTGAGACCATTCAGACAATACCATCGTAAACGTATAGGGTCAACGGATAAATACTAGTAAATTATTCTCAGCAATTCTGTCAGACAAGCCAAACATCGTTGAACTACGTTCTGGAATAGATTTGACACATTAAAAAGTATTTCGCTCCTCAGCCAGATTTAAATCAGACAAACAAGTTTACTAGCTCTACGTAATTTAAAAGGATAGAAAATGACATTATATGTGTGTTCACGTTAACTTGTGGCGTGTTCCATGAGACAATATAACTTGACAATTCCTAAATTATCTCTCTTTGCGAAACGAAAATTAGCGTCACTGTTAAATTTTGAAAAGAATTATTGATCTAGATAGATAAAAGAAATAATTTCATCATCTAAATACTAATAGCTTGATATTGTATTTAAGTCCTTGGTTAATTCGTGAAATATATTGGATACATAAATAACAAAACAAACTTAACAAGCTTAGATTGTCGTAAAAACTTGCTTGTGGGTGCGCTGCTTCCTGAACAATTTTTGTTTTGAGTGTTTCCACGTTTAATGTTGGTGTTCACACTAAAATAAACTTGACTTTTGACATAAACACAAAAATATACCTTATACATCACCTTACATCAGACTTGAACACGCATGTTAAATGCTGAACGCATATGCTGTTCAGTCAAAGGTATCGTCATTGTCATTTAGAATAATGTCCATTACTTTCGTCCTTGACTTTGTACGCGATGTGTTTATATCATAAAGTTCTGCGCGCTCACGAGAGGACCATTTGAATGGAAAATAGTGAAGTATCTTTTGGCACGTTATTTCAATTCTAGTAGCTAAAGTGCGGTAACACTACACTTATTGATTACAACATTTATTGGTTTTGAAAAATGCTATTGCATGGCACACGAATGTTATTTGTGTTCCGGTAGTCATGGCATCTTTTATCATAAGAACAAAACGTCTACATGTAGGACATATGTAGGATTGTACAGAATTTCACTAAAATATGTGCATGTAAAACAATGTGATCTGACAATGCGATCATGAATTCTGTGTCACTTATCTATGTTGTTGTTATTGTCAGCAGCTGGGAAATCCCCGTGACGTCATTGGGAAACACCCCGCTTTTTCAATCTCTAACACAAATGAGTTCCTTGTCAGAGTTACGATAGGTATCGTAACTCTGAACGATCTGCGACAGGTTTACGATAGTTTCGAAAATCTATCTTATCTTAACCTTAAGATATCTTATCTTTGAACGTAAGTTGTTAAGATTTATCTTAGCTAAGATCGTTTCGAAAATCTAGGCCCTGGTCTTTGTGTGTGCACAGTTTGAAGCAAGAGTGCCTATTAGTATTAGAGATAAGGTCCGGACGAACACTTACCTATTAGTTTTAGACCTATTAGTGTGTCGGGACAAACACACCACTATGAACAGAGTCAAACTCAAACTTGTTACCATGGAAATAAAAGAATTGTAAATTCTAAACACGTTTTAATAGCAAAAGGCACCATTTGGCAACCTGGCCCGGGGATCATGAAACTAACTTAAGACCATATTTTGTCTTAACTCTAAAGATTAAGACTTAAGACCAAATTTTGTCTTAAATCGGGGATCACGAAGCTCAATCTATGAGAATATCTTAAGTCTAAGACAAAATTTGACCTTAAGTCCTAAGACTGCCCCTGAGTAGACTTAAGACAAAATTTGTTGCAAGAAAGTTGGCGGAGGTTGTTCGTCTCATGCGTTGCCTAGGGGCTAAAATGGAAACGATACCAATTCAGCAGACATTTCGAGACTGCTTCATCAACGACGAAGAGCTCTTTGAAAGATCTAGATTTTGTCGTTCTACCATTTGTTTCATCATTGGTTTAATCGGTGATAAACTGGCACACACCACATAGCGTTCCCACAGTCTCCCACCTATTATCAAAGTTTTGATATTCCGTCAGTTTGTTGCCACTGGGGCTTTTCACCTTTTAGTTGCTCAGTTGTTTTGGGTCAGCCATATTGGATACTGTTTACAAGATCAAGTTCTACGTAAACCGGTAATGAGACGCCAATAACATCACATGTATTTCAAAATCAGCTGTGATACCTACATCTTTGAATTCCTCATACGTTTTAGAATCAAATGACAAATGGT